TAAAACCTTACCAATAACCATGACTATATAATTTACTCTATTAGTTATTTTAAGTTGCCAAACAATTTAATTGCATTCAGTCATACTAACATGTCAGTTCAGGCTGGTATCAACTTCTGAAATAAGTCAGAGTTCAAAAGCGATAAAATTCCTCCATCAGCTTTCATAAATTACCTAAATTAATTTATTTATGTTTATTTTTATGATGACTGGTTCCTATCACGATAAGTTTTTTTTTTTTTGTTTGGTATTTTATAAACAGTACAATGTTCCGTACCGTAGTTAATCGGTAGATATTGTAGATATTGGAATTACTTGAAATGACTGGATGTCAAATCCATCACAAAGCAGGTAGATACAATTTGTTACATATTCTACACAAGATGCTTTGCTCTTACCTGAAAACTATCAGACGGCTCAAACTGTAAAGGTATGAAACTGGCCCAGCCTTTGGGAGCTTGTGATTCAATTAAAATCCAAGTAACTCTGCTTCATTATGATAGACGGGAAACGATAAGCAATGAGACACCATCGCAGCACTTATAGTCTCTCGAGTATATCTTATTCAAACCACCTCATCTACCAATATTTGTACTAAAAGCTCTTTTATGCTGCAGTACATAAAGGGAAAAAAAAAAAAAAGAATCATGAATGGGGAGGCTAATGCGAGTCATTTATCTCTGTCATCTCCAAGCGTGATCGATAGGTTTAGCACCCCTTCTGTCCAAGTGAATCAACACATTGAAGAGACTCTTCTGTTCCCTCATATCTAATTGCTGCCTCTTCAACAACTCTTCTCATCCTCTTCAATCCATTAACTGCTGGACAACAGCACTTCTGAGAAGTCGTAATGTGAGTTAGGTAAAGTCAAAGCACTCATCGCCCTCCCCCCTGCCTCCCCCTTTCCATTAAGGCTCTGCACATCAATACCCGTCTGTCCTGGACTGCCATCGATTGGCCACAGATCTGGTGCTTGCTTTCTTTATGATTTTATGCAGGCGGGACAGTAACAGGACTAATAAATGGACAATAGATGTGCAGTCGGCCATAAACTTTTAACAGATGCATTAGGCTGGACGAGATGCCCCATATTTCAAGGTTGTTTAAGGTTGCTTTTTGCTTCTAAATTATGCATGCAGAAGCAAGTGCTTCGTGTGGTTCAGCCATCTTCTATAGCTGTAATAAAATGAGAGCTTGTCTGATTGTTTGCCTGCTCCCGTCTTAAAATATACACGCCACGTTCATGGGCGGAACTCCGTGAGTCGTTTTCAATCACCAGCTTGAGTTGTGTGATGTATTTTTTATTTATTTATTTTTTTTTTTCCAATTTATTTTGTTGACCTGAATATTCCTATTGATTCAAGAAGCACGGCAATTGCACAGTGAATGGATGTCACAGGCCTTGTTGTTTAGCATGAAGCCATCGATTTTATCCCACTTACATGCCGTGTCGTGCACCCAATCAAATCAGACGGCGAGACGGAGCTGTTTGTAAGTTCATGTGTGTGACGACATGCTATTGTCTGGAGGCGCGTGCGCACAGGTTTTTACGCCAACTCATTCCTTGTCCTTCATCTTCGTCACCTGAGGGACCGAAGATGAGTTTCACAGGCTTGCAGGATTCGTCCCTCTTGCCTCAGTGCAATCATAACGCCGACCCAGGTGTTGTCTACCAATGATAAGCCTGTGACCAAACTCATCTCTTCATCCAATCACAAGGCGTATTAGGGGGATTTTCAAGATTAGCCTTTCTGCTTAAAATATTCAAGTTTGGTCAGATGTTTTGCTTGGAAGAACATGACTAGCTGGAAAAACCACATCTTATTTTTTTTTTTCCACATCCTGAAACAGGAAGCTAATTCTGTGACCATTTTTTACAGTGACTGTAGGAACTACTTTCTCTGTAAAAAAGGTGTTGTCTCACATTTTTTTCCCCGCACGAAACAAATATTAATGAATAGGAAAAAGTAAATGAAAATACATTAAAAATTTTAAGAAATTTGGATGATTAGTATACGTAAAAATTGGTTGCATTTTGTTATCACTAGACACTAGACAATTATTTGTAATTGTCTAGTGCAAGATGAAGCAGGATAACAGGGTCACAATATCAGAAATCTTTTATTTTTCTCAGTAAGTAGAAACCCTAACCCTAACCACGCTTACATTCATTTTCATTCGTTCATTTTTACCACCAAAAGAGCAAGGGGTTTGCATTTCAGTTCAACATTTTTATGGTTTTAAAGCAAACATCAGATTTTTTTTTTTTTTTGAACATCCAACTGCTATTACATAGACAAAAAATGAACAGACTGTGTGGATGTTTTAAAATGTAATAACCATTGAATGACCATCATTCCACCTGCTGATGTCATACTTCTTCTGAAAAATGCAATCTCCCTTCTATTAGATAGATAAATATATCACTTAAACTACATTGTAGTGACGCCCGGCTGCCTTTTCATTTTTAGATTTTCTGGTGAAGAGTAGAGTAATTGTTCTCAACTTCTGAATGATGATTTTCTGCTCCTCTTTATGACAGGAACAAATTAAGTGGTCCAAAATGACCCCACAATCAGGAAGAGTAACACACAGAACAATCAGCAGCATGAGCTCAACGGTATATTGGAATTGAATAATCACAGCCATGTGTGAAACAGTGGCTTTACTCGATTTAATTGGCCCGTTAAGCGTATACAGCGTGACGTCTTTCTTGTTTGACGGGGAAATGATGAATTACCTGGGGTCCTGACTCCCAGCTATCTTTTTTTAATGACCTTGTGTTTTCACAGATCGTGTTGTAGGCAGTGATAGTTGGCTACTACGGGCGAGATTTATTTCTTCTGGCATTTCTGCTGAATTTGTTAAATAAATACCCGAGGCATGTTTATTGTGTCAAAATTAGAGAGGTAAAGCGTTCTTTGTCTGGCCTGGATGGAAAGTATAGGGGAGGGTTTTGCACTTTCATCACATTTTCCCATCAATCCCTAATCTGTATCGACTCATGCAACACATTTTGCATCATATCGGGTACCTTGGGTAGTCTGTCCGTCTGTCTGTTTATCAATCTCGTGCCAGGTTTGCTTAAAAAAAGATTTTAGGTTTTGTTTTGAAGTTGGCTGTGCAACATGTGCGTAAAAAAATCACCCAGTCCACCATGAACAACAGTGTGAAGAACGCTTTCTAGAAAAGGTATATTTTTTATTTTTTATTAATCTATATCGCATTTAATCATCTGCCTCAAAATCAAAATAACTCAGACGGATCAAACCTCAGACTAGTTGGAGCTAAACAGAGCTTCTTGAAAAAGGTTTGTAATTAGTGAAGCCTTTACTTGATCTGTGAAAACAAAGAGTGGGGAATTATTAGATTTCTCAAAAATATTGAAAATAAATCTTGAACCCAATATTGTTGCCGCTGTACTCATTTTAGGGCCCGCAAACCTAATCCTTTCCTTAAGATGTCCCCGACTAGCCTGCAGTATGATAATTATTAATAATAAAATGTAAAAAGATATGGTGAGATAACGTGAAGTTTCAGTTGTCAATGGCATGTTTTCTGATATTGTTCATTTGCAATGGCCAGTGTTGCCAACAGTTGAAAGAGACCATATTAATATTTAAACATAAAGCTTGTTTTGGGAATAACTGAGTGCAGGCGACAGTGTGACTCCCAGCAACAATCAGGATCACCCCGTTCATCGGACAAGATTTTTGAACAAGATTAATTCTCTACCAAGTGAAAAAAGTGCAATATAACGTATACAATCGCTATTTTCTGATTGTCCAACACTTAATTCTCAGTTAGAGTTCACAAACCTTGCTTGAAAATCTCAAATCTTTCACACACTTACATCATTCTCATTCTGCCGTCTCTGCAGCAGGTCGATGTGTACGTTAGGATAAACAAATGCGCTCCAGCGGGGTAAATGGAAAACAGAGCTGTGGAGCAAACATCTCCATCTCTCGCCTGTCTCCCTGCTGAAAGCCAAGTCAGTGTGACTAAAATTCTTAGTCATGGTGCGCAGCGGCTGCTGGCAGCAGGGCTTGGAGCTAATAGGCTCAGACTATCCTGCCTATTTCGTTTCACCTAAGCTTGACAGAATGACACTCTGGATTCAAACAATGAAATACGGGAAACACACACACACACACACACATCCCTAAACACAGAGGAGGGTCCAGTGGAAAATGTTCTTGAGTCCTTCCCCTCACCCCCGTTTGCTGTAAACCAGGTGTGACCCGAGTCCAGATGGACCGTCTGTTTGACTTCGTCGCCATGTTGCATTTACTCCAGGGCTACAGCAAAACTCTCATTGTTACAGAATGTACTTTTGGTTCACCTTGTAGCTCTCTCTCTTGTTTTTTTTTTTTTTTTTATATATATATAATTTCCTTTCCAAAATGTGCCACGGAGACATGATTTGATAACAGTCTGTTGATTCAATGACAGCCTTGTTGCAGCTTTTTTGCAAAAAAGAAGTTCAGTATCTTCGCTTGGACAATGAGGGGCTCTGCCCTTCTGCGCACTGCAGGGCTCTGATAAGGTCTTGTTGCCGTTCCCATATATTCAATATGTTGTGTTATCGCCCGAGCAGCGAGCAACTGAATTAAGTGAAAACAGACGTATCGGAGGAAACGTTTTGGTTGTGATAATGAATTTTATCTGTGAAATGTCTCCTTTCTGAGCAGATGTGAATGCAACTTAGAGATACAAGAATTAAACTGTGGGAACGAGGGTGCGCATTAGTTTGACTGTAATGAACGATGCAGTCATTATCTCCGGGTCGGAGCGGCGGGGGGTTGGTGTGGGGTGGTTTTGTAAAAGTGGGGGTGTGTTGGAGGGCAGTCTGATTGCTCAGAGTCAAACTCCTCTCGTGGAGCTCATTTACGCAGCCAGTAGGATTGAAAAACCGAGTCAGTTTAAAATTCCTCGTGAAGAAGATGTTCTCTTAACCGAGCGGTGCTGTGACCTCTGCTTCTGGTTTTGTCTTTCATCAGATCGCACTGGGAAGCGTTCCACCATGCCCGACTCACCTGCGGATGTCAAGACGCAGTCCAGGTTGACGCCACCTACCATGCCGCCTCCGCCCAGTACGCAAGGGGCTCCCCGCAACAGCTCCTACACACCCACCACATGTGAGCAGCGCTCTAATTCTGTATCGCACAAGACGGCACTTTGCTTCTTTGCAATGCTAATAGATGAAAGAAAAGGTAAAAAAAAAATAAAAAAAATAGCTGAAGCTCCTTAACAGCGGCAGAAATTGCTGCCGTGCCAGGAGTTCTGGTTGTTTTGTAGCTGGAGCTTCATGTTTGAAAAGCTGTTCTCAGGAAATGTTGCTTAGAAGTGCTTCGAAAGATCAGGGGTCAAAATCCTAAATGTTTCATAGGCTATGTGACTCAAACGTTGATCAGAACCACATTTATTGGAAGCAGAAAATAATGTACAGTCATTTTTAATAGATTACAATATCACTGAGATGTTGTTGCTTCAGAAACATTATATAGATTAATTACACACTGACTGATGTTTTCAAGCTTGTATTTGTGTTAACTATAACAATTTTCCACTTACAGACAAAGAAAACATAACATTTAAGATCAGAATATTAAATTAGGCCAATAATAAAAGAAAATGTATTCAGAAATGTGGGCTTGTGTATGATTCTGACTTAAAGGATGTTATTTTCAAAAGTCAGTTTTAATCTGGAAAGCGAGCCACGTCTGAATGCATATTCTAATTTAGTGAATGACTGCAGAATTATATTTATCTCTATGTGAGATTTCAGCATTTTTATCTCCAGAATTCATGAAGTACTGAACTCCCAGATGCATAAACTAAAATGTGACAAATGATTTAAGTAAATAAGTTCCAAATGGTGAGTTTGCCAGTACAAAATGGAAGCAGGATGAAATGTGATGGAAAAAACTTGTGTCTGAAATGGGGATACAAAAATCACAAAGGAACATATAGGCCCAGAGTAAAATGCCATGTTTTCCAGTTTAACTTTTTTTTCACCTTATTCTTAGTCTTTTTAAGCCTTTTTTAAGATTTCGGGTCAGAAACTTCACTGAAGCAGCAGAACCTTAACCCCCCCCTAAAGTGAGACCACAGCCGACCTGAACGTGGCCTTAAGTTCACCTTCGTTTTGAAAAATATTTATAGATGAACTGACTCTTCCTCCATGGGAAGACAACTAAAGCATGTAAATGTTAAAAAAGGGGGTTCAAATCCCCTTAAAACCTTATTATCGAGTTGCACCGAGTCTTTTTCGTAAGGCAGAGCTCCCTCCGCTGGTTCATTAACACCCACGCTTACAAACTGTTGGAGCTTCGCCATGATACGCACATCACTGGTGATGAGCAAATTATACCCTCGTATTCTCTCAGAAGTAGATACTTAACCACTTTCATGAAGAGCACTAGAATCAAGGAATCTGAAGCCGTGTGGCTCAAAACGCTTCAAGCTCTCTAGTCTTATCTAAGCGGCGCTCCTTCTAGTCTGCAACAGAGGCTCTGTTTTGTTCTTTTCCAGCTTCAGACTTTCCTTGCACCCCTTCAACTTAATTTATACAAAAAAAAAAAAATTCTAGCCTTCTGTCTCTTTCTGCTGCACACACTTGCACCCCACAATTAACGTCGATGCTTCCGTGCAATGAGGGAGGAAAGACCTGGCTCTCTCATTACCCACGCCAAAGGTTTTTTTTTTTTTACAAAGCAGTACGCTTTGATTTCCATCCGCCATAATTGTCGCCAGATGCAGTTTGAGCATCTCGTCTCTCTCTCGTCTCTTTACAGTGGCGGCCTTGGACGGCGGCCAGAGGGGGAGTGAATGTATCGCTAGTCAGAGACTAATCTCATTAAAGAGAGAGCTTTATGTTGCCTTGTATGTCTTTGTACGTCGACTCCCCCAACATGAACAAAGACACGCGACTGCTGTAGCCTCGCTCTAGTGGGGGTCCCGCTGTCCCTGCTTGTTTAGGCTGCAGAGGAGAAGGAGGAAGAAGGAGGTGAAATGTCTCCCAAGTGCTTTTCTGTGGGGATGACTTAAGGGATCAGAGAAAGCACAGAAATTGCAAACAAATGTGGAGAGTGTTAACCGTGGCGTGCACATCGCCTCGATTAGTCGCTAGAACCCGGCGGGCTGGACGAACTGTTATCTGTCGCTAAATAAATGTGTTCGTTCAACTTATTAATACCGTTATCTCGCTTGATTGGTCTCTTTTCTGACATCTTTTTTTTTTTTTTTTTTTTCGCCCCCCCTTTTTTTTTCTTTCCCTTGTTAAAAATTTGGACGGCTTCTACGCTCCTTTGAGGACAAGCGCCTTACTTTTTGTGTCCTTCGATGTGAGATTTCAAAAAATGTCAAGAACTGAGTTTAAAATTCTCCTCGTCTTTGTCTTGTGCAGTGACAAATGGCAGTAGCCACTCCCCGACGGCCCTCAACGGCGCGCCATCCCCTCCGAACGGCTACAGCAACGGCCCCAGCTCGTCCTCCTCGTCTTCGCTGGCCAACCAGCAGCTGCCGCCGGCCTGCGGTGCCCGGCAGCTCAGCAAGCTCAAGCGATTCCTCACCACTCTGCAACAGTTCGGGAACGACATCTCGCCCGAAATCGGCGAGCGAGTCCGCACGCTGGTGCTGGGACTAGTGGTAAGCAGCTTCCACGCGTATGAGGACGGTGAAAGGGTTAAATGGCTCCCAGAATAACTTTGTCTTTTTTGGAAGATGCTCAGCAGGAATGGCGTGTTTGGCATTTCCCACTGAACAAATAAGTGATTAAGAGAGCGCTTGTCGTTCACAGTAGGCTGTTCTTTAATTGCGTTTGTGAAGCAAGATTTTAAATACTCTAGGAATGTGTAAATGCCTTCTGTCTTAAGTGCTTTAAGCTGACAACTTTTGTAAATTAGTTTTACGTAAACAACGATGTAAATCAGTGTGCAGCTTGGTTCAGACCTCACCAAACAGTGTGTTGTTGCTGTTTCTTTTAAACATTGAGATTTTAACTTTAGTAAACACTGAAACCAGCACTATCACTTTACTATTTTATTTACGTTTTGCTGGTATTTTTGTCTATTTTTTATTTTTTTTTTTTTACCACATTTGGAGTTTTCTGAAGTGAAGTCTCTATAACATCTCTAATCACCGAGTCGTGCCACACACTACGTTGCCCTGAAAATCTGTTATGAGATGAACTTTCTGCACAATGTTGCTTTCAGGTTGGTCTGATTTTTCCTGTTCAGCTGGAGAAACGCAATTCAACACTTTTTATTAAACTTATCGATCTTATTATACAAATTACGAGTTCTGTGCGTTTCACAGTCATATCGTAGGATGTGATTTCATTTTAAATCCCTTTCTAAATTAACGTCATATAACTCAAAGAGTTTTGTGGAAAGCTTGGTACAAATGAATATATTAAAACACTATTTCAATCTTGTGTCCGATGCAGCACAAATGAAGCCTGCAAGCGTAAAAAAAACAAAACAAAAAAAAAACAACAAAAAAAAAACACATTCAACCAACTGAGATTAGATAAAACAGATGTGTTCTCTAGCTTAGCTGACATGGATATATCAAGGCTGCGATCAGAGCTTAATGAGCAGGGGGATACCGGAATAGTGATTGAATGTTGTGCTGAAAAGAGGAGGAGGAGGCAGAAGAGATGAAGGGGGGGAGATATTTTCTTAATTAACCACACAGAGTATAACCTGTTTTTGGCTTTTCCTGTGTTTGCTTTTCTCGTCGCGTGCGTCTACGCACGTGCCTCTCCTGCGTCCTTTTGGCTCGCACACCTCCCCACCACGCGTCTCTCTGTTCTCCCTCCGTTTCATCTCTCCGCTATCAGCATCTCTGTGTCCCTCCTCCTGCCTTATTGAAAAGAGTGACACTGTTAATTAGTCGGCTGCGTGCAGGGGAGAGGGAGAGACGGAGGCTCAGGAGGTTTCGCTGGCTGTCAAGAACAGCCCCGACGCAATCTGGGCGAACAGATGTAAGGCTGAATGCAACAAAACTCAGGTCTGGGAAATAATTCAGAGTGTGAGGAGGAAAAATAATATCGTCTGCTTTTTTTTTTTTTCACTTTGTCTTGCTTGATTCTTTTTTCTCTCCCTTGTTTGACTGTTATTTTGCAAGCGTGCATGTTCAGCTCCTTTGTCCACTCGACGCTAAAACTGAAAGTCGTGTCATCGATCATTAAAATGGAAACAAAAGAAGATGCAATCCAGATTTTACGTCAACGTTTGTGTTTGTTATTAACCAGAAAGCTATTCAAGTACAAAGACAGATACAAAGAGATTGTTTTTTGACTGCTGGGAAAGAAATGGCAAGATTAGAAAGAAATCACTTGTTTTATCAGACTTACGGTAACAACTCTGACGTCGGAGGCTACAGGGGCTCAAGTAGGTCTTGTGGAAAAAATTAAGTTAAAAAATAAAATAAAACAGCGGTAAGAAAATACAGATTATTTTTAAAAGCAGAGATGCTAGCAAAGAAGTTATGGCCTTCTTGAAAATCTCTACAAGTGGCTAAAAGATTTTAGAACCTACTAGACATTTTTGCAGTACGACATTATAACCCTCGGCTGGCAAAAAAAAATAAGCCTTTCTAGTGAAACCATGCATGTGCAGAGCATGAAAGTCATACAAAGTGGATTTAAAGAGTGCCACATTTTGAAGCTTTAAGAGAAAATAAAAGGAGAAATGGCAGGAATATGAAAATGTGAAACTTTATTTTAATTCCCCACTGGATGGATGGATGGATGGATGGATGGATGGATGGATGGATGGATGGATGGATGGATGGATGGATGGATGGATGGATGGAGTCACAACCTCCTTAAAATGGATATTAACCTGCAGAGATGGTTATTTTTAGAAAATGTAATGAAATAAAAGGTTTGGTGTATTTGTACACACATGGAGGTTCTCTGGAGAATCTGCTCACATCTGATTATGAAAATTAAAACAACCAAATGCCCAAAAGCTTTTTTTGTTGTTGTTGTTGTTGTTGTTCTTGCCAATGAATGCACACCAAGGTTTATTCAGTTTGTGTTTTTCACAACATGCAGGTTTGCGCTTACATATTTTCAAGATTCAGTCGATTTTATTGTCAACTTCATGGATGATAGCAGGTAGCCTAAGGATCTGGTGAGGATATTCTGAAATGGCCTTAACATAGCTAGTTCCTTAAGGTGAAAGGTCAAATCTGAGGCGTTTGTGTGCGCCATATCCAGGGTAATAAAAGTGATGTATGTTCTGCCAGTCTTGGCAAGATCTGGAGGTCTGTCAAAAGCTAAAACAGCAACACTCTTATGACAAACTCCCCCAAAATTCTTGGCTATGATGATTTATTTTGTATGTTTTTCGTTTAAAGTCTGTTCAGCCCTCTTACTGGTAAAGTGATGACATCACCGATGTCATCCCAAAATGGAGGATGCTTAATATTTGAGTAAAATTAAAATACCCTAGAAAAACATTTTCACCTGACTGGGCAGAAAAGTACAATACGCAGCAGATTAAATTATATAATTTAGAGACGATGTGACCAGTCTTAGACCTTGAAGAAAGATACAGGCAACCCGTCATTAAAACGTACATGCAATTCGTAGCAATTTAATGCCTCCGACTGCAAACATTTTGAGATTTCTGCTTGTGTCTTTGTTTTGTGGGGCTCTTTTCACTGTGGTCTGCCACATATGCTTCCTATTACAAAAGCCAAAACATTCACTCCAGACCAGGATACAGCTTAGCTTCCAATAAGTAATATTATCACTTAATGCCTTCCACATGGAGTCATGTTTTCCTTCTCCTTCTCTCTTCTTCTCCCACAGAATTCCACGCTAACCATCGAGGAATTCCACTCCAAGCTCCAAGAAGCCACCAACTTCCCCCTACGACCTTTTGTCGTTCCCTTCCTGAAGGTAGATATTCAAATATACAACGACTACAAAGGGGTTGCCTGCCTGTACGTCTCTCGAACCAGAATCTGGAAAGTATTTAGGCGTCCGAGATCCAGATGTGCCCACTTAAGTTCAAGATATTCATTCCCATTTTCAGCATTAGCCTTTATTTTTCAGCAGATTTATTCCTGTTTCTTTTTTTTGCCTTTGCTGTTTAACACAAAGTTTTACTCTCTTTCTTTCTCATTGTACTTTTCCTCCGGTATAAATGATTATTTTCTAAAAGCTAAGAAACATATTCGAATTGAATTGTGCCTTCATGCGGGAGCAAAGCAGATAGATATTTAGTGAATATTCTATTTTTTTCCCCACCATATAGGTGTTGTCTCAGTTTCATTCATTCATACTTTCATTCTTTTAAAAGATTTAATATTTCACCTGCAGTGGGTTACTCACTTTGTGCCTTTAGTTAGCATAAATCCATGGAGTCGTAGCCTGAAGCTAAAGCTGCTAGTCCAACAGAAAAGCAGACTTCCACCATCAAATTATGTAGTTGTTTTGAAATGGAACTAATTAACCTGGATTTATGTTAAATAAATCAGATTTTAATGCCATCAGCTGCAGGTACTGTTAACTATTAAATGCTCCATAACACTTTAAAAGAGCCTCAATTCAAAAATCCCGAACTATGTCGCTTTGAGCATGCAGCTGGCCTCCCGTCTCCGTCCCAGCTCACCGCATGAGAATTAAGAGTGACGGCGATTCTTGCGTTCGTGTCTCCGAGCGAAGCTGTGGTCGTTTGTGTGCATTTAGTGTTGCGTAGCTGCATATGCTGGTCTGCAGCTTGCAGGGCTGCAGGGAAGGCCTGTGGCGTTGCAGGCAGAGTTATGATTTGTTGTGATAGTCAAACATGACGAATGGGCCGGGCGGGGGGGGGTTTGTACTGAGGGGATCCACTGCGCAGTCACAGTCTGGCTCATGTTCTGGGATGTGTGTGGAGACGAGATCAATATCAGTTTGTAACTGAAAGATGGAGAGCACGGACAGGCGGAACATTTAATATAAAGCTGGCTTGTTTCTGTCACGCCCTCTTGCTCTTTGTTTACGCGGCCTGCGCGCGCCTTTAACCCAATATTCTGCTATATTTGTCATTTTCCTCTATTTATCTTATCTGCTCACCTGCAGTTATTTTCGACCTTACGCTGCTGTTCTCTCTCCATCAATCCGTCTGTCCAATTCCCCCTTTTCCTCTCCTTGCCGGATGGTGAGTGCATCGCTGGGATGGCTGTGGAATCAAAGATGCAACTTTCTTCTTTTTTTTTTTTTTCCCCCCCTGAATTTCTCCCTCCCTCTCTCTATTTTGCTGTCTCTCTCCCCAGCACCTAATTTTAGTGTCTTCCCACAGTGGGGCCTTTAATGCTAGGTAACCATATGCTACCTTGGACGTGTAGGGAGAGGGAGGGGGGGACATTTAAAGGTGCAACAATGTGCGTCAGGGCGTGTGGTTTTTCGTTAAACTAATTCCATACACAAAGTTCAACCCGCCGTCTCAAACCCACTCAACTCCTCGTCCCCTTTTTCTTAATGCTAAAACCACAAATTGGTTTGGAGGCCTTACTGGAAGGAGACCGTCATTAACCACACAATGCCTGTGACGTGATGTGCTTGTTGGGCGTCCGCCACAGGTTTGCCACAGCGTTTCTCTGTTTTCGCCAGCTTACGTCGTGCTGTTGCAGTCAAACCATTCGGCCTTCTTTCAGCGCAACACAACAAACCTGCCAGTGAGAGCAAGCCGCAAGAGGAAGCGATCAAAATGGGATAACAGAGACAAAAGCTACATTATCTACAACGGTGTACGATGTAGTTGTTAATGAGTTTTTATTAATTATTATTATTATTATTATTATTATTATTATTATTATTATTGGTATTTTATGTGATAGACCGACATAGTGTAGAACTGAAAAAATAGTGGCAGGACAGAAAGGCAGGCCAGAGTTTATTGGAGAACATATTAGAGGCTGCAGACAATTTTGACAACTGAAAGCTGATCTTGACAAACTCCCTCAATCCAGGGTGACAAGAGTTTAACTCTTTTGCTAAGAAAAGTGGGCAGAATTGACAGTCTCTGGATGTTCAACGCTACAGGAAACTGAAGGACCTGCAGCTGTTTTTACAGTGAGACGGTGCCACAAAAAGAAGACTGAAAGGAGGATACTTTGTAAAAAATATATAATAATAATAATAATAATAATAATAATAATAATAATAATAATAATAATAATAATAATAATAATACATCAATTTGTCTTTCAAAGTGAGTTAATATTTTGTCAGTTTTTACTCCAAAAAGGAAAACTAAATAAATTTTCAGATTTTTTTTTTTGCTAATATCTTCATTATTTGACAAAAGAAAAAGGTAATAATGTAAATCATATTTTAAGCTTAGGTTATCGAATGCTTAATAATGGTTTATTTTATTTCTTGTACTTGTGTGTGTGTGTGTGTGTGTGTGTGTGTGTGTGTGTGTGTGTGTGTGTGTGTAACTGTCTGGCAGCTTTACAGAAGCAAACACCATACTTAATCACTTGAAAAATGATGCAGCCTCTTTAGTGCTCTGCATTTCTTGACTCAGTCTCCTTGTTAATGCCTCCCACATCTCAGGCAATTAGGATGACCTCCAATTAATAAAAGATTGGTTCATCAGGGTCAAAGCTATTTATTTTAGCCTCTTTTTTTATTCTAGAATAATTATGATCATAAACTGTTACTGGATCATTAGCTCTGGAAGGTAAAGCAAAGTTCAGCTCCTGGCATTTCTTTTACTGTTTGAAGGTGATTTTCGCAGATTTAAACAGTAATGCTATAATAAAAAAAGAAGAAAAAAAAAATCAGGGCTGAGTTATACAAAGATTAGAATAACAGGAGATTAAATAGATGGAAAAGTTGGAGTGGATCAGAGGAGGTGGGGGGGGGGGCCTTAAAGCAGGAAAGCTAGGCAAGGAAAAGATTATAAAACCCCAAAAAGTCTTAAGACCTTGAAAGATTTTCTTTTTCTGAGGACAAAACAAAGATTAACCCACCTAAAGCGTGATGTATCCCGGCTAAAATAGCGCCCGTTCTTGTTCTGAGCCTTCCTGACGCAACGCTTTCATCTTCTTGCCTTGAAACACATGCCATCAGATGTCTTTGAAGTGGATGCTCGCATACCTGTATGTCCCTGTAACTTCACAAGAAGGCAGACTCCCTCTGTTACAGTCAAAGACAGATTGAAAAGAAGGTGCTGTTCTTACAAAAAATTAAAAATCAATGCGTCACAGAGAAACCTTCTAGGCGTTAATGTGCTCCGGGTCACTTAGAGCAGTGATGGTTCAGTAGTAATGCAAAGGTGAGTTTAATCATCGGTGCTTTGAGTCAAAGAATGAGGAACTTTATTTTGCATCTGATCTGGATGGATTGAGTTTTCTGATCTCTCAGATGGAGACATGGACAATTTCTGAGCTTTTCTGCACAGCTCTCTGCCGTCCGTTTATCGCTTGCGTGAGAAAACATAATTTTACTATTTATCCTAATAAAATAAAGCATTAGAAATGTAACAGCATTTAAATAAAATATGTGTTTGGATGCTTCAAAAATACAGGACATACCTGTTTTGTTTTTTTTGTTTGTTCGTTTGTTTGTTTGTTTGTTTGTTTGTTTGTTTGTTTGTTTGTTTGTTTGTTTGTTTTTTTACATCTGGAAACTTCCCAACAAGAGTGACTAAAATTTGACTTTTTGACATGCTGAGAGAGATAAAAAATAAAAATAAAAAATACACTATTGAAGACGTTTGAATAATGCCTTCCATGATAAAAATCCCTATTTGCTTTAATAAAAAAACAACAAAACAGAATCAAAACATCAAAATAACGAAATCAAACCAGACACAATGCTACATAGTAAAATGTTTATTTGGAGCTTGTTGTTTTTTGTTTCTTACCGTCATAAAACAAAAAAACATGTTTCGGTACCAACCGTTCTCACTAGCAGAGTAATAAAATTTCTTATTTGCAGCTGACGGTGAACTCATAAAAGAAAATTAGTGAATAAAAGATTTTGAACACTTTGCTTTTAATCTTCAAAGCTCATTTTGCTTTTGGTTTAATGTAAGGCATAGAGCTGCGTTCGCCGCCACTTTATTATTAAACAGGAGCCATCTTCCAATTAACAAACACTGTCACATAATGTGACAATGTGGTTTCAAAAAACTATTAAAATATGTGACTCACGTCTTTTAGTAGCTTTTTGAAACCACATGTTCGCCTCCTGTTTGCCATGATGTCATGAACGGAGATCTGACGCCAAGCCGACAGCGTCAAAAGTGTTATATAAAAGCAATCACAATAAAAATATATATGTATATGTTTAAAAAGTAGGCTTGATCTCTGTTCCTCCACAGAAATGCTGAATACAATTTAGATTACGTCAAGGTGAATGCCTGCTGTGAAAAGCAGAACTGCCTCTTAACTTCTGTTTTAACCTTTTCAGCACACAACTGGCTCTCGCTGCCAGAACAGAAATCCCTAAAAATGTTTCCTGCTTTGAGTTTTTTGTTTTGTTTTTGACGTAATTTTATTATTATATTTTTTTTTTTCTCCAGGCCAACCTGCCGTTGCTTCAGCGGGAGCTTCTACACTGCGCCAGGCTCGCCAAGCAGAACCCAGCCCAGTATCTGGCTCAACACGAGCAGCTACTCCTAGACACCAGCACCACGTCCCCAGTGGACTCCTCCGAGCTCCTGCTCGACGTCAACGAGAACGGCAAGAGAAGGACGCCAGACAGGTGGGCACATCAAAAAAAAAAAAAAAGATTAGAACATCGCTCTGGCTCTTATAGTGTTAGAATATGTTCTCATCTTAACTTGTCTTTGAGTTATTCTGTGTTATGCGTTCATGTTTTCTAATTTACTTTGAAAGGTAAAGCTACAAGTTCTATATCCTGTCACTTTGTTCATGTGCATGTTGTACTGCTGTTGTCCACCAGGGGGCAATGAGAGTGAGTTCTTGTGTAAAGGCAGCACTGTTCTAACAAGTGATATAGAGATGAAGTTAACCGAAGGCTGAACGTTAGCAATAAAGTGAACACAGCTATCTAACGAAAAGAAGTGTGATTCATTTTAAAGATGAGTACTGAACAAGATAACACAACATATAGTTTTTTTCTGAACAACCGAATTTGTGAGAAGATGAGTCAAATGATTTCCGAATGAAACGGTCGGTCCAGCTCCTCTCTCAAATCCGCCACTACCTTCTCTTCCGCTCTCTGTTAGTTGAGCTCATGTATAAATCCCTTTGAGGCTTTCTGCATCCCTTTGAGCTGTTGAATTACTCTCCAAACATGGGCTGAGCCAACAGGAGGCAATAGTGTGATGTGTAAATGTATGTATGGGAAGGGTTTGTAAATGCACCACTGGGTTTTTTGATGTGCTCTGTTGGAGGTCTTGGCTCCTCGCTGCTCCCCTTAATAAGTGGGAACTGTGGAGAGGAAGTCGATAACACACACCTGGCTCTACTTGTACAAGACAGACGAAGAAATTTGGTGGAATACTTCAAATAATATGTTTTGATACCTTGTTACCTTGTTTCTTTTTTTTTTTTAAGGCAATAAAGAGGACAAAAAGATACGAGACAAATTTGAACAATATTTTTGGGAAATTATTTTTGTTTTTGGAAATGAATGTTTTATGAATCACAAATGTTGGCTTGCTCATTTATTTCTGTCATTATGCTAAGGTGGTTCTAATTGCTAACGGTCAAACTGTGTCTGGGAAAATTTCTACAGCGTATAGCCTTACCCAGGTTAGGTTTGAACTAGAGATAATCAAATTTAGTTCAGATTAATTAACCTGTGAAATAACCATTAAGCATAGGAAGCTGTACTTAATGGCATAGCTAAATTTAGCAGGAAGCGCTTGCTAAATTTAGCACTATTAGCTGTTAGCAGATAGCCGGTCACAGTATTCTGACAATTCTTCAAAATCCTGTAAAAGTGGTCTGTCACACCAGAATCAAATGAATGGCTTGTTGTCAGGGCTCTGCAGAAGAAAAACATGCTTGATTCAGATGTTATAAAAACTGGAATGCATCCAAACGTTGCACGGTAGGACTTGAGCTGGACATCCCTGCTAGTCATGCTAACTGCTAGTCAACCTAACTGCAACTTAGGAGGCAGACAAAGAGATTTTGTAGATTCTAATATCGCAACATCTAATTATTTCTATGCAAGTATGTTTGTAAAAATGGACTGTGTATGTTTCTCTTTTAGCATCAACTCAATCCACCTATTGCAGCCAGACTGTATCATCTAATCCCTGTAGTAGACTTTAAAAGTGGCTCAGTGTTGCTTATACTTCTTCAGACTTAAAACTAGAGAAGAACTTTACCCATGAAGGCAGAGACTCATTTTAGACTTAAAGAGTTGCTTATGCAGTTTGTGTGTAGGTAGCAAAGGGGAGAGAGGTATTAAAATCTACATACAGGTTCTCACATTTGTCATTATTAAGCATTTATTTTTAGTTTCTGGATGTAAGTTTGAATAGAAGTGTGTTTTGTTGTGCATTTTTTTTTTGTCTGGGCTGCAAGTACAATGTAAGCATTGTACTTTAAAATGAAGTCCCAGCGGCTGAAAGAAAAAAAGAAAGAAAGAAATGGAGACAGGCTAGGTGAAAGGGAAATGTGCATATTATATCTGCTGAGGGGCAAAACTGCTGAATGTGTTATTAAACATTCTCACCTCCCTATCCAACTCAACACCAGGATAGTCTGTTTTTTTTGTTTTTTTTTGGGGGGGGCGAGGTTTCAGTAATACCTGCTTATTTGCAAGGCTGTCTGGTACACAGGGGAGTGGGGGGTTAGAAGAAAAGGTGCGTTCATAAATGCAAGAGGTGAAAATATGAGAGGAGTGAAAAAGTACGGCGGCATCTGTATTTAGTGAGAAAAAACAGTATCTACATGTGAATGCGTGTGTGTG